ACCTTAAGGTTTGGGGTAACGGTAACCCTTCCGTAGTATAAGGAACGTACTTATCCTCCTTACGTACGTCCTAGTAAATAAAAAAAAATTAATTGTTAAACACTGGTGGCAATTATTCTTCAATTTCATGTATTCCGTGTATAATGTATAACTACAGTTTCAAACAACACACAACTTTCCACTTATTTTGTATCAACTAAATGTATGTTATTTATCAACCCGAGTATTTAAAACTGTTATTTTGTACCAACTTAATTTACGTGATTCTTCCATTATAGTATCTTAAACTTAATCTTGTCACAAACGCCATGTAACAAAAGAATAAACGTACCCTCACACCAAGTAGTAATGGAGCAGAAGTTCCGTACTGCTGTCTTAACTCGCTGATTGGTTGGGCTAATATTATCTCTCCACTTGTAGCGTTCATAGTAAAAAACGATACCCAGGGCATATCTTCACCATAAAAAACAAATATGTGGAACTATAATCAGCATAAAAGATGTTTCTAACTAGGATAATTTTTCATTATTAAAATGTTTCTGGCCCTTTTCACTGTGTATAGCTAGAACACTGTGTAAAACACTGTTAGGTAAATGTATCATTGATTCACTCTGTAAAACAACGTCTTGGGATAGATGTATCATTGATTCGCTCTGTTAAAAAGTGTTAAGGTAAGTGTATCATTAATTCACTCTGTAAAACAACGTGTTAGGTAGATGTTTGATGGATACACTGGTCTTTGTTCAAATATAAGGAAACAGCACCAAAAACAATATGTTAGGTAGATGTATGATGGATGCACTGGTCTTTATTCAGATATAACAACACTACAAACAATGTGTTAGGTAGATGTATAATGGATGCACTGTCTTTGTTCAGATATGATATAACAACACTACAAACAATGTGTTAGGTAGATGTATAATGGATACACTAGTCTTTGTTCAGATATAATATAACAACACTACAAACAACGTGTTAGGTAGATGTATAATGGATGCACTGTCTTTATTCAGATATAATATAACAACACTACAAACAACGTGTTAGGTAGATGTATAATGGATGCACTGTCTTTGTTCAGATATGATATAACAACACTACAAACAATGTGTTAGGTAGATGTATGATGGATGCACTGTCTTTGTTCAGATATAATATAACAACACTACAAACAACGTGTTAGGTAGATGTATAATGGATGCTCTGTCTTTGTTCAGATATAATATAACAACACTACAAACAACCTTTGTAGTGTTGTTATATTATATCTGAACAAAGACTAGTGTATCCATTATACATCTACCTAACACATTGTTTGTAGTGTTGTTATATTATATCTGAACAAAGACAGAGCATCCATTATACATCTACCTAACACTAATGTGTTAGGTAGATGTTTGATGGATGCTCAGATATAAGAAAACAGCACCAAAAACAATGCAAAGATAGAGTAATACAATTAACTGCCCTAGATTCATTTTACCAAATTAAGAACTTCATTTGGAGCACAGTTTCTTTAGAACTTGTGTAAGGCTGTGCTCATGTTTTTTGTTGTCCTGGAAGGAAGAGATGCTCATGGTTTTTTGACATGGAATGAAAAGTTATTCAAGATTTGTATGTTAATATATTTTAAAATCTGTGATTAATTGTTACTATTGTAATGCTAGGAGTATTAGAAATAAAAGTGATGAGTTCCAAGCAGTTGTAGAAACTGGGGATTTTGATATTATGAGTATCACTGAGACTTGGTTGGATATGAAAAATTTTGATGAGAGAAATATTTTTGAAATACTAAGCTACAGATTATTTACTAGTGATAGAGTATTGAAAAAAGAGGGAAGAAGTAGCTCTATATGTGAGGAGTGAATTGCATCCTGTTGAGTTAGAGCATATTAAAGAAAATAGCACTGAGGTTGAGTCAGTTTGGGTTAGTGTTATTGGATATAAAGGGAAAGGCCTTGTAATTGGGATTTGTTATAGACAACTAGGTCAGAATGTAGAAATCAATGAGAAATTGTATAATGAGATCAGAATGGTAGCTGAAAATTGTTATTATGGGAGATTTTAATTTCAGGGGTATTAAGTGGGTAAATTTTGAGTCCAACAGTGAGGGGGATAGGTTTTTGAAAATTGTTCAGAATACTTTTATACACTAACTGATGATGGAACCTACAAAAGATGAAGCTATATTAGATTTAATGTTAGCACCTGATATGAATGTGATATATATAGTTGTGATTGGTGAGCATTTATGTACAATCAACCATTGCACTATTACATGTGGGATTTTACTACATGTAGAACTGAAGAAGAATAGTACCCTGATTCCAAATTTCAGGAAAGCCAATTCTGATGGAATGAGACATGATTTGACTTCTGTAGATTGGACTAAAGAGTTGGGAGGGGATCTTGAACAGATGTGGGAAGAATATAGGGAAAAATTGATATGCATGCAGAACATACATATTCCCTACAGAAAAAAAAGGGCAGCAGAGCAGAATAAGCTAGTATGGTTTAGTAAAGGTTTAAGAGATCATATTAGGGATAAACATATTCAAAAAATCTAAACTTACTGGAAATAATAAGGAATTGAAAGACTATAGGAAATCAATAAAGCTGGTTAAAAATGAAGTTAAAAGGGCAAAAACTGTATATGAAAGAGGGTTGGCTGAGAGAATTAAATCAAACAATAAGGAATTTTTTAGGCATATGATGGGTAAGCAAAATGTTAGGATGGGGATTGAATCTTTTAAAAATGATAGTGGGGAGCTTATCTCATTAAATTATGTGCTCTCTTCAGTTTTTACAAAGGAAGGTACAAGTATTATGCCTCAACCAGAGCATTTAATGTATGGAGAAAATATTGATGTAAAAGATGCCATTTTAAGTTCTAAAATTTAAGAGAAAAGTTGGGAAACCTCAAAATTGATAAGTTCCCTGAACCAGAAAACTTTTATCCTAGAGTTTTAAAGGAACTTCGAGATTTTATTTGTGAACCACTAGCTAATATTTTTTATTGGTCATTGAGTAGTGGAAGAGTATTAGAATATTGGAAGTTGACTAATGTTAGTCGAATACATAAAGGAGGTTATAAACATTGTCCAGGCAATTATATGCCAGTTAGTCTTACATCAGTAGTTGGAAAGGTTTTGGAGAGTGTGATTAAAGATGCATTGCAGAGTAACTTAAAGCAGTTTGATATAGTGTCAAAGAACCAACATGGTTTCACTAAGGGAAAGTCTTGTTTAACAAATCTTCTGACATTCCTTGAGGATGTTACTGCAAGAGTTGATGAAGGAAATACTGTGGATTTGGTTTACCTTAATTTTCAGAAAGCATATGATAAGCTGCCTCACAAAAGACTTGTTACAAATACATCAATGGCTGTAGGGAAAATATTATTAAATTGGATAGAAAATTGGCTGAAGAGAGAGAAAGCATAGAGTAGTAATAAATGGATATAGATCTGACTGGATTACAGTTACAAGCATTGTGCCTCAGAGCTCTGTGCCGGATAATCTGCTGTTTGTGATATATTAATGATATTGACTCTGGAATGACTAACAAAATTTTGAAGTATGTAGATGACCTTAAGATTTTTGGGGTGGCTAACTGTATCATATATGCTGCAGACTACAGGGAGTATTAAATCATTTGATGCATTGGGCCAATACATGGCAGATGATGTTGAACTATCCAAAATGTAAGGTGATGCATGTAGATTTTCACAATTAAAATTATTGTTACAATTTAAATGGGAAAACATTAAATACTGTGCTTGAAGAAAAAGATATTGGTGTTGTGAGTGAAAAATCACTTAAGTGTATTGTAGCTAGCAATAGGGCTAATAGGATTTTGGATAGCATCTATAGAAATATTGAATATAAGACAAGGGATATTATTGTTTCACTGTATAGATCACTTGTAATGCTTAATTTAGAGTATTGTGTTCAGTTTTGGGCTCCCTTTCTTAAGAAGGATGTTGAATTGTTAGGTTCAGAGAAGAGCCACTAGGATGATACCTGAAATCTCTATAAATGTTTTTTCTTTGGAGGGGTTTCATTTAAGTGTTTAAGAATATTAAGGGTATTGATAATATAGATCCATCAAACTTTTTTGTGCTTAGCAGTGAAAACAATTGGATAAGGGGGCATAAATTCAAATTTTGGCATCGTAGGAGTCGTCTGCAGTTTAAACAGTATTACTTTTCAAACAGGTGGTGAGCTGCTTTCAAAGGTGGTGGAGGCAGAAAGTTTAAATGAGTTAAAAAAAAAAGATTAGATGAATACATGAGTAGTAAGGGGAGGTTATAGTTAGGAGATGGGTTAATAAGCTCCTTTTTGTCCCTTGAAAATTTTATGAAAATTTATGAATTTAAGTTGTAACTTCTAGCTGTGGTTATGTAAGGTATTAATAGCCATGGTCATGATTTAAGATCTAACCTCTAGCAATGTCTTTGTAAGGCATTAATAGCCATGATTATAATTTAAGTTGTAACGTCTAGTAGTGGTTACGTGGGATATTAATAGCCATGGTTATGATTTAAATTGTAATCTCTAGCAGTGTTTGGGTAAGGCATTAGTAGTCATGATCATGATTTAAGTTGTAACCTCAAGTAGTGGTTACATGAGATATTAATAGCCATGGTTATGATTTAAAACGTAACCTATAGCAATATTTATGATTTAAATTGTAACCTGTAGCAGTGGTTACGTAACATATTAAGTGCCATGGTTATGAAATACAACAACCAAGTTGAGTAAGAGTTTTGTTATCTTTGAACATCAGTAATTTAAAGTACTCAGTTTTCACCCAGTTCTTACACTTAAGACTTTGTAATGTGAAGATGAGATTGTTGTTGGGTTGTGTTCAGCTCTGCAGGGGTTGAATTTGAAGAAGAGATAGTTGTTGGGTTGTGTTCAGCTCTGCAGAGGCTGAATATGAAGAAGAGACAGTTGTTAGGTTGTGTTCAGCTCTGCAGAGGTTAAATATGAAGAAGAGACAGTTGTTGGGTTGTGTTCAGCTCTGCAGAGGTTGAATATGAAGAAGAGACAGTTGTTGGGTTGTGTTCAGCTCTGCAGAGGTTAAATATGAAGAAGAGACAGGTGTTGGGTTGTGTTCAGCTCTGCAGAGGTTAAATATGAAGAAGAGACAGGTGTTGGGTTGTGTTCAGCTCTGCAGAGGTTGAATATGAAGAAGAGACAGTTGTTGGGTTGTGTTCAGCTCTGCAGAGGTTAAA